ATCACGGTTGGTGTTGGAGCACGGGTCTTTTGACCAGCTGTCGCCTCAGCGGAAAGGAGCCGGAATTCGTGCGCTAGATGCTCCTGAGCGAAGTTCTGACTTTGGGAACGTCAAAGGCTTGTCTCTCGCAGAACCTGCATTTGCTCTGATCTCGAGATCTTGCAGAGCTAATTTTGCCATTTCGAGCTCTGGGCTCATGACTCTTTCCTCGGGGTCGTCGATGTCCGCATAGTCCAGACCCCCGAGGAAATCGTTGAAGTCCTCGCTGCGATCCTTCACGATGCCATCGAGGGCTTTCGGCACCGCCTTGCGGGTGATCGACGGCCTGCGGTGTCTTGAGTAATCGGCGGCGTGCGCTGGTCCATCGACGATGGAAGAAGCATCATCGCCTGCGAGACTCTCCACGTCCAACGAGTCTCTAGCCGCACCGTGTCCAGCGTCTGAAGACGTGATGGGTAGCTCGTCCCTGCCGGTGTGGAATGATCGCGTCCTCAGGGTGCGATTCAACGTCGAGTTGGAGACTGTGCGTCGCAAGGCGTGACCTGCGCCGCTGATGCTTCTCCCGCGCTTCGAGTCCGTGCTCGCGTGGCTTGGCAGCACCGCTGGGCCTGCTGTGTAGACGGGCGCTGGCACCGAGATGGGCTGAGCGTAGCTCAGCTTCTCCACGTCGTACATTGAGTTGGTGGGCGAGCGTCCCGACTTGCTCCACTCGGATGCAAGCGTCGACGAGCGAGATTGTGGCCGGGCTGTGGAGCGTACAAAGCGTGGAATCGTAAGCATTTGCTCCTGCGAACAAAAGGCAGAATACAAAGACTCAGCAAGCAAGCGACAATACTCACACGCGAAAGAAGCCGAGGCCTTGTGCCCATTGCCTGATCTACGTCTTCGAATGTAGACGATGACGGTTGTGAGAACACCGCCAATGACGACGACAATGGCAACAGCCACGCCGATCGCAGCTGCGGAATTCATGGTGACGCTGGCTGGACGGTTGCGAGTTGTAGGGAGAAATGTGGTGGTCAGAGGTGATGATAGCGCTGCCAGGTGTTGTGGTGACTCGTCAATGCTCAACATGCGGAAATCATAGGGTAAAACAGTCGCCGGGCGGCTACTTATACTCGTGAGTCTGTGACAGTGTGCAGAGAGCATGGCGCGCTACACGCGGCATTGCCGAGCAAGTGCTCCACAACGTCTTGCAAAGGGCAGCTCAGCTCGGTCCCGCTCATCACACCGGGTTTGTTGATCCAAGTCGTGAGACAGATGTTTGCTTTGTGGCAGCCTCAGACCTGTCTCTTGCGACCGAATGCGGTGAACTAACCACGGTCGGAGCTTGACCAGCGGGGATGCAGCCAATCGACCTGGGACTATGTACCGCGCCTGCAATACATCTTGGCTGATGTCAATCAATCCACACCATGCACTCGACTCTTCATCTCTCGAGAGTCGAAGGGCTCAGTGCGCTTCAACGCTCTCCTGAGCAGTGTGTTGCAATGAGCAACGCGAATGAGCACTTACGAGCCATCATAGCGTGGGCAGATAATTGTCGCGAACGAACCCCAAGGGCGCGGCGCTTCTTCGTGCTGCTGCTCCCGTCGCTCCCACATCTTGGATGCTCCACTTTGCACCACTTTCTCTCTCGGCACTCACTCGATGGCACGGGAAGGCAGCTCCCGACGGGCCGGTAGAAGGCAGGGCTGCCGGAAGGCTCTTGTTGCTTGCTCATCGAGGATGCGTGGCAGTCCAGGAAATCTGCAGCAGCATCGACAGGCGATGATTTCATGCGGGCTCTGCTGGAGCTCGACATTTTCAAAGCAAGGGTTTGAGGGTTGCCGCTTGGCCAGCACGCTCCCCTCCTCGCCTCGCCCCTTCATGTATGCACGTCGAATGCACGGTCGCTGCGCGGTCACTCTAAAGTAAGGTGGTGAGGTGCACAAGCGCAAACTCTTACGATGGCTTCATCGAGATACGCAATTGCGCGCCAACCCTGCGTAATCTTCAAGCCGATGATCCACTCTTGACCATCATCCCGTTCAATTCGTGACTCATTCGCGATCCGACGTCTTGGCCTCCTCATCACCCTATCGATCCATCCTCGTCTCGCATTCCAGCTCATCCCCGCCATCAGGTAGCGCAATGAACATCGATAGCCAGAGCGGTCTGCTTTGTCAAGTGAAAATGTTCGCATGTGGGTGAAGCAGGATTCGCTGCGATGCCCAAGACTCCGCGTGGCTGTGG